TAAAATAACCTGAAGGAGACAGCTTCCTGGGCAACCCGCTCGGGACCCCCTTCTGTCCCTCTCCGACAGAAGCTTTCCTTTCCAATAAAGTTTTACCTTCAGCCTCCGTTTGTTCCTAAAATTCATTCTTCGGTTTTAGAGAACACGAACTCATTCAGGCCAGCTTGGGAATTTCACGTCCCTGTATCAGTACTGCTGATGTCAACACTGCACCGTGTCTTAGTTGCTTTTTTCTTGTTGCTGCGACAAAATACCTGACAGCCAAAGTTAAGGAAGAAAAGGTTTATGTACCTCACAGTTAGTGGAGGTTTCAGTTCATACTCAGCTGGCTCCAAGACAGAGAGAGGGACACAGGGCAGAGGGCAGTCTTTCATGGCGGCTGACAACGAGGGGGGACAGAGGCTGTGGCGGCGGAGGCACCTCTCTCCTCTGCTTATGTTGTGATGCAGACCATCTGCCCCAGGAAGGGAGCAGCACCCACACCCACAATCCCAGCACTGAATCATGAAGTTATCACAAACTCTAGGAGCCACCCCATGACCGCAGGAGGCTTGTGGGGACAACTAGACACAAACCGTAACGCTCTAGGATGGAAATACCAAAAGGACAACCTCAGCAAAACAGAAGCTTGAAATGGAAACTTTCAAGAAAACCAAAGGTGGAAATGTAGGTGATGAGTTCTTTTAGCAATAATGGTGTCTCGCTAGAAACACAAACACATGGCAGTTTGGTGGTTTGCAAAGAAGACAATGAGTGCAAATATAGACAAATTTTCTCAGAAAACAGACTGGAGCTCATAAGAGATTATTTGCAGCAGAGGAAAACCGAAATGCTTCTGCACAGGAAACTCGGGAAAAAATTTGTGGCACAGCCAGGTGAGCTGACAGATGAACAGGCAGGCTCGGTGTCACTGACTGACTGCAACAGGAAAACCAGAAAGATGTCAGCTGTGCCCCCCAGGAAGGGACGGGAGAACAAAAGTGCTGTCACTGTGATGCATCAGTATGGGACATGCAGCTGTCACGTGTGAAGACCGCCTTGGGCATGGCGGTTGAAGCAAAGATTGTTTCTGTGATAAACTTATATTGGTATTTACATTGTAGTTCACACAGGTTTTTATTTCTTATATTTCTTTTTTTGTGCAGTCCAAAACCCTAGTTTATTTCAGCATCAGCAACAACTCAGCCATCAAAAAATAAACTACCCGCAGCGACTTTCGTCTCTACAGTGAGGCTAAGGGCTCAGCCGTCGGGCAGCGGACATCAGGGGTGCGTGGTGGGCACTGCCCAGGCAGTAAGTTAGGAAGCGGTGGCTCAGGCCAGGCTGCACTTCTGGGCAGGTGTGAGGTCATCGATGGCCTGGCCCTGCTCCAGCCGCTGCTCCATCTCCCCGAGCAGTTTCACCCCATCCACCACCATCTGCACCAGCTCCACCTCCGAGAAGCCTGGGCGGTCTGCGTTGGAGACATCGAAGACCCGGCCCACAGCAGCTGTGTCCACACCCCCTTGGATGGACGGCCGGCTGGGTCAGCAGTGTGGAGGAAGTGTGCTGGGGCGCCGATGCCACCCATCGCTCCTCCGGAAACTTATGCTTGCCCAGGTGAGGCACTTCATGTGTACGCCTGCCCTCAGCCCGGAGCCCAGGTTGGACGGCAGGTGAGGATGTAGCCCAGCTGTGGGCTCCACCTGAACGCATTGTTCTTAGACTTGAAGAGGATTTCGATCTGAGTTCTGGATCGTCCCCTCCCTGGCTGACCTGATCAAGTGAACACCTCCTTCATGTTGCCCCCTTTCTGTATGGCAGGACTTGCAGGTTGTCCTCCTTATCCACGCGAGGAAGGTCTTACTGTCATTGTGCCAGATGCCACAGGCGTTGGGCCAGTCGCGGGCCATGCCGGAGGCCAGCAGCAGTGGCAACACAGGCTTGTCAAAAAGGAAACGGACGTCCCTGAGCTGCTTGCTCCGCCTCAGTCACGTCATGCTCTTGAGCATGTAGTGCCGGCTGGCCAGGTCGCTGTTCAGGCTGCCAGCTTCTTGGTGGCGTGGCACGGCCCGCGCCGCAGTGTGGGGGCAGGCAGAAGCCGTGGGTGCACCTATGAGCTCAGCACGCAGTGGGGTCCAGGTTATGGCCACCCTACAGGTTGTTGGGGTTGAGGGTGGTCTTGTGCTTATCACTGGGCTGATAGCCACTGTGGAAGTCCCCGACGATGGGGTCGAAGAGCACCTAGAACACACTGTAGGACACCTCGACACCCTCCATGCAGCCCTCTGTCACGATAAACGGATGGCCCGGATTGTCCACACTGGTCTGGATGACATTGTCCAGCGTGAAGCCGCTCGGCGGACAGCTCGGGGGCCAGCACCGTGGCCGTGTGGGTGTTGTGGCGGCTCAGGTCAGCACACTGGGCCTGGCTGCGAAGTTCCTCTTCGGTGTTGTGGCTGTTGGAGAAGGGCATGGCGGTGGGCCGGGCCCTCGCTGTCGAGTCTACAGCTCCCCCTCGGCACAGGCAAACCGTTTTTATTTCTGATGTTGTATTTTAAGTTTTCTAAGCAAGAACACAGTTTTTGGCTTTTTTTTTTTTTTTTTTTTTTCCCCCGGTATCAGGGATTGAACTCAGGACCTTGCACTTGCCTGGCAGGCACTTATTCTACTGAGCTATCTGCTCAGCCCCTAAGATATTGTTTATATTCGAAATTTTTTTGGTATTTTGTGTTACTGTTACTTGCACTGTATAATATATAAGAACCTCCTTGTTGGGAGCCTCAAGAAGGTAGAAAATTGATCAAATGTGTGTAAGTGGGACTGGGCCTCAGTACCCTGCTTTTGTTTTTTTGTATTTTAGGGAAGGGTCTACAGGGTGTTGAGCGTCTCACTACTAGATCAGACTCCTAGTGATCTGCCTGTTTACAGCCTCCCAAGAGCTGGGATTACACCCACACCAGTCTCAATTGCCATCTCAGCGTGCCCTGGGGGCAGCCCCCCCCCCCCCAGCTCCTGTACCTGCTTGCAGTACCTAAAGCAAACTTACCTCACTCCTGAGATAAAGATCCTGTTTGGTTAAGGTCAGCTGTTAGTCGCTAGGCAACCTTGTGTCATGTGTTACAAACATTACAGAAGTATAAAGGATCGCTCAGTTATGCGTGGAGTTAGTCGTGCCCATCAGGCCCAGCCCCTTTTGTCTTCCTGCCTTTGTTGGTCCTGCCGCTGTGTCTTCCTGGGTAGAACCTTGTGTGGTGAGACCAGCGGATCCCTATGCCTGGTGATACAATAGCAAGGCCACCGAGATGCAAGTATGCCCCAGAAAAGGTCAGCAAGGCAAAGCGTGTGTGGGCTGCGGGTGGCCAGATGCAGATTTTCTTGGTAGAGTTCTATTGGTATTTTCATTGTACCTTGCATAGCAATTCCGTTTTTTTGGACAGTATATCAAAAAAAGTTGTTTTTTATGTTTTACAAACATTAAAAATCAGTTTTTTGATACTTGTTTAATAACATTCATAAAATAAAGATTTAATAATTCAATAAAATAGTCTAAAATAAACGTGGGCACTCACAACGCGCCTTTACGATAAAATTGGTGTTATGCGTCGAGCTACACAAGAAAACAATGAAAAAAGTCCACAATGGGGACTTATGTGTGGGCGTCACCCGTAAACTAGAGCATGTGGTCACAACGCTTTTCGCGAGGCGCACATGACCTGGACCTCACAAGGAAAGAGCTGCGGAAGCGCTCGCCCGTGACGTTCCAACCGGACGGTGCCCCTGTTCGCCCAGGCGTGGACGACGAGCCAGTTGGGTGGGAGACGCACCGCTATCACTGGTGAGTCCTTGACCCAGACGTGACTCCCCCAGAGACTGCGCTAAAGCGTGCTGCGGGACTCTTCCAGAGTCCCTCCACAGAGCCTGGGGGAGGATCCTCAGGTCACAGCCCGAAGGTGCGGCTGCGGGAGCGGGAGGAGCCCGCAGAGCGGCGCCGCGCCGAGCACCTGTGGAGCAGCCAGGCCAGCACGCAGCCGCGGCGACACGCAGCGCCCCGTGCCAGGAAGCCTGGCGCCAGGGAAAGGCCTGGGTGGACTTACTCTTTCGCTACTCAGTGCACTGCGTCTGTTGTGCTTCGATGTTTTAGGCGTCTTGCCACCTAGGGCTAACTTTACGTTAAAGTCCTGGAAAGGTGAATTTGAAGTACAGCGTTGGGGCCGCAGAACCAGTCCCTTGGCTTTGCAAGCGTACTTGGTTCTTGACCCTTGTGGTGTTCAGACACGCATCTGGGACCCGAGGCATCACCGCACTTCCCATTCCCTGCACAGGGCGGACCGCCCCGTGCACTGAAGCCCCTCCCAGGGCCCCGCTGTGGCTCGGCCTTCCCTACCTCAGCCGCGGGCACTGGACTCCTGCGGAGCAGACGCCCGTTCCGGAAGAGGAGGGTCCCTTTCACTTCAGCTTCATTGGACCCGTCACGCCAAAATTTCCAAGCTGAGGTAGTCATTGTCCTCCCAAAAATGTTTATCACCATGAAATTTAGATGAAAAACTTACTGTGCCTTACATTTTTGTCTGGCTATTTTGAACTAACTTGCAGACTATTGCTTATTATGTTTAAGAATTAAAAAAAAAACCAGTAAATAGCAAATCATTTATTGGGAGGGTCAATGGCTTCAGCTTCGGTCGTAAATTCACCAGCCCAGCAGACAGTCATGAGGTTGGAGGAGTATACGCTTGTCAGTCATCAGAAAACCGGTGGCCGTTGGGGCTGTCACGCAGAAACCCAAAGTCACTCAGAGGCCAGATCTGTAAAATCCACAGGAGGCGGAGACGGTCAGTGAAGGCCATGCTCTAGCCTCAGCACGCCCGTCCTCACCCCTTCTCTGCGCTCAGTGAAGCTTCCTTCACGCTCATCAGCTGTGAGTAAATTTTTGCCAGAGTGAGACTTTAAGGAACCATTTTTTGGTGTAAACGACTAAGTTTGAAGCCTTCAGAGGTACAAGAATTTGCGTGCAGTATGTATCTCAAAAGTGGAAGGTTTAACACGCAAGTTAACCCACTGCTGCAACCAGCCGTGCCTGTCCCCTCCTGCCAGCAGCCCGAGGTGGTGAAGGCAGCCGCCTTCCTAGGTCCTGCACCCTTCGTGCAGGCCAGGGCTGTTCTTGGGCAGATGCTCACCCACACTGTCCCATACTGGTGCCACAGGTGACAGAGGGAGAGAGTGAAGATCTGGTGGAATGTGAATTTATGTTTACAGTTAAGGGATGGGAATTGGGTTATAAAAACCTCCTTCCAGTTACCTCCCTCTGTGAGGTGGACAGGTAGTGAGCTGCCAAGTGCAAGCCAGTGTGTGTGAGAGGTTCAGGTACCACACCCAAAGTCCCACTAGGCTGAAGACAGCAGTTACTTGGGGGGAATCTTGTTTTCTCCACCTCTGAGAATGAATAAAGCCAACATTCCAAGGAGAAAAGTGTACCTTAAAGAAGATGCGTCCTCTTATCAGTCCATAAGGGATCGGTCCATAGTACCTGGAGTCTGTGGAATTCTGTAGATTGTCACCTTCTAACCAGACGTGGCCCATGGGTACCTACAGGCAGAGGGGAAATTGGCCCCTTTAAAACAGCGCAGTGACCTGGGCACCGTCTCTAAAAAGCTTGCATATGTCTGTATCCTAAGTTATTCACACAATAAGACAATTTAGTAAATATCAAGGACTTGAAGTATTTAAAAGACCAACCTTTATCATGTGGTTCCCAAACATTTATTACGAAAACTGAGGTTGGAAGAGATCAACAGTGTGACAGAGTCATTAATTTAATCAGACTTCAAAAGAGGTCACGAGGATGCTGACCAGAAATGTGCCCTCCTGTTTCAGCGACAGCATAAGCAGGCAGCAGCTCCACGTCCCGAGGCCAGCTCCAGGGCCGGCCCTCTTCGGTGTTCATGACGAGCTGGACGGTAATTGATCCTGACACCAATTACACACAATCTCATCATTCTACAGGGGCTTGTCAGGGTTCTCATTAAGAGCCTGCTCTGCCTTTGTGCAGACGTATCTTCCTGCATTATACTTTGATAATGACCATCACAATCACAAGGAGCCATTATAAAACCATCAGTTGTAAAATTAATGACAGTGACCTTCCTAAGTGGAAAGGCCCGATCTCATATGGCCTGTGCGTCAACTGGTAAATACATTAAATTCTTACTCACTGACCATCATGCACAGGACAAAAATTATATTCAGAAAGTGCTTCTTGCCCAAAATCTGCTAGAGCCTCTTCCAGCCGTGCAAGCCTCCACGGTTTCTCTCAGCGACAGTGTACCCTGCTCCTCTGAAGTTGTTAATTTAACAAGCTTGTTACCCAAGAAAGTTGAGCTATTGACTAAACACTACTTGACCTCTTGGGAAGGAACTTATTTTTGTTCTGTTCAATAGGGTTTCATAGGAGACACATTTTCTTTTGTGACAAATTACCTTTTTGAAAAATAAATTGATAATAAGCATATAAAATTTTAAATTCATTTTAAGAGACTTACGATTCTGTGACATGTAGAAACACTTGCCCAAATCCTCCAAGTTAATGCTTTGCCTTTTGACGCCCTTAAATGTTAAATCTAGCTGGGCGTGGTGGCACACACCTGTAATCCCAGCACTCAGGAAGCTGAGGCAGGAGGCTTGTTGTAAGTTCAAGGCCAGCCTGGGCTACAAAGTGAGCTTAAGGCCAGCCTGAACTACACAGTGAGACCCTGTCTCCAAAACGAAAGTGAAATCTACTTTATAGAAAAAAGGATGTAAGTTAATTGGAAGAATATCAGCGCCAGCAGTATACAAGTGTAATTCCAACCCTGAGAGGCTGAGGCAGGAAGTTGCAAGTGTGTGTCACAATATAAAGTAAGGTCTAAGGGGCCAGGAACATAGCTCAGCAGCTTAAGTGCCTGCCTGGCAAGCGCAAGGCTGAATCATAGGATGTGAGATCACACACGTTTATTAGTGGAACATGTTACAGGTCCTGGGACCAAGAGCAAGATCACTTTCTGCCTGCATGCAGTAGTCCCTCGCTATTTCGTGGTTTGACTTTTATGGACTCACTTTTTCAAGGGTTTTCAAAAAATATTAATCTAAATTATTTATCAAGGATTTTTCACTATATCATGGGATTTTGTAGAACCATACAGCATATGTATGTTGTTAAAATTACATAGGTTTGAGTTTAGAAAATGGTTAGGAACATTAGTGTTCTCACAAGTGTAGGAAAGGTTTATGAGTGTGGGTTCATAAAACCCTAAGATACATCTATAAATACTATATATACCGTCGCTACTTCGCTGATCTTCACTCACCGCAGGGCTGTCTGGGCTGTCGCTGGTGCGGGGAGTGAGGGCCCACTGGCCTAAGATAGACTCGTGCAGTGAAGTAGGTGCCAGCCAAGCCCAATGAGGACATGAGTACCATGGCAGGGCACAGGCGAAATGGAAGGGCGGCAGCCAGTGTGAAAAGCCCTGGATGACACATTTGGAAGAACTGGTCGGGGAGAAGTTCCAAGGTGAAGATTTTGTGCTTGTTTCCCGTGTTCGTCACAATGCGTGTGCCTGTTTGTTTTACAAGTAATCAGCAAGTAAGGGCCAGCAATAAGAGCCAAAGCAAAGCATTCTGCAGACCAGGAAGTCAGCGTCCCGCCTCCCGAGGCCTCTGCCACTCGCTAGCTGCAGACCACAGCAGGTTTACGCTCGTACCGCTTCCCCTCCTAGATCCCATCGCGTGCCTGGAGGCTGTGCGGTCTTCATTATGATACACTAAGGCAGAGGGCAGTAACACCATGGTTTTAACTTGCCAATTTGATTGTAAAAAAAAGGTACTTTGTGTTTTCTCTTATGACAAATGAGACAAAACATTGCTTCATGAATTGAGAAACAAAACGTACTTGGACATAGTGGCTCAGGCTTGTAATCCCCACTACACCTGAGGCTGAGGCAGGAGGACTGCAAAGTCTGGGCCAGCCTGGGTAACAGAGACCTGTCTCAAAATAAAAGTTCATAAATGAGGGCGAGGAGTGGAGCTCAGTGGAAGAGCGCCCACCTTCGCGGGTCAGACACGCAGGTGCACTCACACAGCGCTTGTCCTGGGACCCCCGCCGCACACCTCTGCCCTCTTCTGAGCTACCTCTTCCTGTCCTCATTTCATAGTGTTCTTTAGTTATTATGGAGATCAGCTCTTTGCAATAAAGATGGCAAATGCATGTCTGTCACTTTTCTTATCAATCTTTGCTTTTGTGACTTCTAGATTTTCAGTCATGCAAGACTTGTCTAGTTTCACATTTTACCATGTAAGTATTTTATTTTGGGGGAATGTATTCACAGAGATAGTATAAGGTTTGGGATGTTGACAAAAATTTTTTCTCCCTTTTGTATTGGGGATTGAAACCAGAACCTTCACCCTAAGCTGCATCTCAAAGCACTTCTTGAGCAGGGTTTTGCCAAGTTGGCCGGGATAGACTTGAACTTGCATCCTCCTGCCTGGCTGTGGGATCACAGGCAGCTTTAGCCGCGCACTGGCGCAGCAGCACTGGCAGCATCTCCGCCCAGCACGCTCAAACTGCGTTGATCCCTGTCCACTAAAGAAACGCTAATGCAGTAGGCGAGTCAGTGCCAGTGTTTTCCTCTGCATCGTGTCTGTGACCTCTGGGGTCTTAATAATTTTCTTATAAACCTGCAAGTGTTCTTACAGATTTCAAGTGTTTATTACGAATACTTCCTCCACCGTGGGTTCTTCCCTTCACATTATGTTCCCTGAAGTTTTAACTGTTAGAGGTGGGGGCTCAGTGGGAGAGCACTTGCCTCGCACGTGAGGCGCTAGCACTGCACGACAGGACAGAAGACGTGGAGTTTACTGCCACACACACGTGAGCATTTCTTATGTCTTTCTGCCCTGACCAAATAGGAGTCCCTAGCACTCTTTTTCTAGTCTGAAGAACTTCCTGCAGTATTTCTTGCAGGGCAGGTTCACTGTCAATGAATTTTTCAACATCCTGACACTTCTTTTTGTTTGAAAATATCTTTATTTTCCATCATTTCTGAGATGTACTTTAACTGGACATAAGCCCCAGACAGACCTCACGTTTCCTTCTCCTGTCACTTTTCGTACTGGTGAGGGTGATGGGGCGGCAGCAGCAGCTGTCTGCTTGCTGCGCGTACGTGGCTTTTCTCTCTGGCTCTTCGGGATTCACCGTGAGGTGCCCCGCTGTGATTTCCCTTGTACTTCACCTGAACTTGGGTCTCTGGTTTGGTTTTGCTCACACTGGGAAAAGCAACAGATCCCTGCCTTCTCAGTCCCCTGGAGCTTCCGTAACACGGGTGTTGGTCTGTTGAACACCGCCTTACACGTTACTGGGGATACTGGGGTTTTTTTAGACCTTTTCCTTTCTTTCATCAAAATTTGTATACTTTTTATTGCTGTCCTCTACTGATTCTCTTGCAGTTTCTAGTCTGCTGCAGGCATCTAGTGTATCTTCGAACTGCAGAAGTTGTCTGCTCCTTTCTTACGCTTGTATTCTTTCCCTTTACACCTTAGACATACGCAGCAGTGTGCTCCAAGGGCTCGTCCTGGTCATCTTGGCTCTCTGCAGCTGAGTGACCCGGGCTCGAGGCTCGCAAGTTCTGTCCCTTCCCATGGCGAGGCACCTGCAGTGCGTCAGGGACTGGCCGTCAGGGGGAGTGCTGAGCGCGCAGGGGTCTGGCTGGCCTGGTGGGCAGGGACATGGACTGTGCTGCCATCAGCCTCCTCCTCCACAACCTGCTCGGAAGCTTTGGAAGGTGTGACGCTGCCAGCGGCTTTGTGGACCACTGTGTCACTGGCCAGCAAACCGTGGGTTCAGAGCTCCCTCGGTCACTTGGCTCAGTCTCCATTTGCTAGGAAGCAGGCACAGCCTCACACTGAGCCCCAAAGCCCAGGGAAGAAAGGCCTGTGGCAGCTCACTTCTGTGCGCCCAGCTGTCCCCTGGGTGGCCATGGCTGCGGAGGAGCTGGGGCTGTGGCTTGCTCTGCTCTTCCTGTCAGGGACAGCTTACTGTTCAGTGTGAGGATGGGTTTCCCTGAGTGTTGGGCGGCAGGCCTACTGCCAGTGCTTCATGTACCTCACGCCTCAACCCTTCTTCTATAAAACTGTGAAGAGAATCACTTGGGCAAGGACCAAAGTGGCTTTTATTTTTTGGGACAGGGTCCTGCTGTGTGGTTCAGGCTGGTCTTAAACTCACTATGTAGCTCAGGCTGGCTTCAGACTCACAGTAATCCTCTTGCCTCAGCCTCTCCAGTGCTGAGCTGACAGGCATATGCCGCCACACCTAGACTGGCATTTCTGGTGTGAAGTGAGTGTTGGCATTGTGAAACCTGAGTGTCTAGGGTACTGCCTGGGTCCCGCTTTATCCTTTCCCTGCCGCAGGCTAGAAAAAGACCTCCCTGACTCGGCACGATCACTAAGCTGCACTGATAAAGGCTCACTCCGTCCCGGGTACACTTGAGATCAGCACGAGTAGAGAGTCCTCCAACAGGCAGGGCATGAGATCGACACAACGAAAATCAATCCAGTGG